TATATATATATATATATATATAATCCTAATATGTCCACAGCTCATCCAATCTAAGCAAGACCCATAAAAGAAGCAAAAAGAGGTGGAATGCACACTCCAATAAAGAATGAAAAACTGAGGAATCCAAAATATCCTAGGAAGATCATATATATTTATAAGATTTGAGATGACCTCTCTTTCTTGGTATGTTACGAAGGAAAATATTAAATAAATTACAAAGGATAATATTACATAAATTTAATATAATATGATGTCTCTTGGAATGATATTAGACGTGGAAAATGGATTGCCCTTAAATGAAAATGGTCGAGCGCATGCTCCTTCCTTCCTCATCCACACCTAATACTCGACAGCCAGTACTTAGCTGGCCAATTTAATTTAGTCTGCTGGACTGATCAAGTCCAGTGTTAGTACTCAACATCTCGTACACGACAGCCAGTACTTAACAGCTAGTGTTTTAAGAAATAGTTTGGCAACACCCCTATGGCCTATCAGCATCTTCTACGACACATAATAACTATTTATTAGTATACAATATTATAAACATATATATATAATATTATTATTATTTTATTGGTAATCTTCCTCCAATCCAACGCATGATTAGATAGACGTGATTTGCACTTTGGCGCTTGGTTTGTAATGCTCTCTTTTGACGCCTACTTTGATTCTAGATTCTAGATCTCTTTTTTTTTTTTTTTTTGGGGTTTTGTTTTGACTTTGTACCTATTTTTACCTAATCCTTCTGGAAGGAGTGTCAACTTGAATTTTATTTATTTAGGCTTATTGTTGTGTTGGATATTGATGACATCAGCAATAATTTAACATTTTCAAGTTCAAATAAAAATTCCATATATTTAAAAGAAGTTGAGAAAAACAAGGTTTTTTCCCCTTGAGGAAATTTGATTCATCCAAAATAATGTACAGACTACGACGGAAGGATTCTTACTATACTCAAAATACAATGCACTCAATTGAAAAATCTAGGGTATTCGCTTCCAGTGATTGAACACATGCAAAAGAAAAATCTAAAGAACCGAGGATCTAAAATGAGGCACGCCGAACAGCCAAGAGCGTAAGAGGAAACAACAATGGAACTAAGAAGAGACGAAGACGAGGTATAAAAAACACAAAAGGTAAACCTAGAAATGCTGTGACGGAGCAGAAACAACATGCGGGGAAAAACCAGAGGACACTAATAAAATGTCAGAGGTAACAAGGAAGTAATCTGAAGGAATTGAGAAAGTATAAAATAAAAAACACAAAAGGTAAACCTAGAAATGCTGTGAAGGAGCAGAAACAACATGTGGGGAAAAACCAGAGGACGCTAACAAAATGTCAGGGTAACAATGAAGTAATCTGAAGGAATTGAGAAAGTATAAATGAGACACAACAAACATGAACCTACCGAAGAAGCGC